TTCTTGTATATTATTGAATATAATAATCAATGATTAAAACCCTTTTAACTTTCGAGTAACATAATTCACATAACATGTTTCATTTATGATGGCATTTCCAATTATATTATATTTTGTAAATTAGGTCAAATACAATATTACAATGAAAAATACATTTTTAAAAGCTTGTTTACATGCGATACCTAATTTGGATTGTTCGGTCGTTGTTTGATCTTTTTATGTTTTGTAAATACTATTTTTATTTTTACTTTGCTCAAGCCTATAATAATAAATTTGACCTACATTTTAGAGGAACTATATAGGGTGAAAAAATCTGTATGCCAAATAATTAGATGTTTCATTAGAACACGTGTTAAAGCTATGAAATGTCAATATCATTATAAAAGCTCATTCAAAAGGTGTCCAACAATACCAATGTCATCAATCAGACGGACTTGCGAAGGTTCTGTTGCATCACGACCTTATGCTTAAGCATGGTGAATGGTGACACTCAATCGGTAAATTCAATGCTTCTTAGAGAAATAATGTAATTATACAATTCAACTGCAACTTTTTATGTTTAATGTATACGAATTAATCGTAGCCGACTCCATATTCACGTTTTATGTTGATGATATTTTAAAGCATCGTTTTGAAAGCGTTTGATCAATTTGAAGCTTTCCATTCATTAAGCTACAGCATGACTTTATGTCATACAGTGTTAGCGTATATTGCAAACTTTTTGTATAATTAATTTGGCAAATTTAATTCACATGAGTCTGCTCTCATGGGAGCTTTATATCATAAAACTTCTTCAGTTGCCTTTCACAGAAGCTTTTTTTAGAACTGTAGAACTGTTTTATTTTGGTTTTTACATGGCTTTATTCAAATGCAGTCAGGATGATGTGTAGACTAACACTGTTGATGGGTCCCTACGAAAAATACATTCCCTGACGAATATATCTCATAGGTAATATAAATATTTGATTCAAACTTAACATAATAGTAAATTGGAATTTACAATAAGAGCTAGGTTAAAAAACAAAAGCTTTTTTATATTTGCATACTTAGATCACTCATTAGATTAGATTACGAAATATTATCAAATGTGCTCTGTGTGAATTTTTAGAGACTGTACCAATAGGTTAGCACATATTAGCTCACCGACAATGAAATAAAGAAAACAAGGATAGGGTACCAAAGTTATGAGCTTGTTTGTCCTAAAACAATATCTCTTGGTATTTGTAGCTTGGAATAGGTAAAAAACGCCTAATATAGTATATGGTTCTATACATTTACACCTATTTGTGTACCACAAAATAAGGTAACACCAACGTAAAAAATGTTTAAAATACTGTATAGTAGTTATCCCTTCAGATTGATCGTGGTCCCTGGATGGTCTTGACGACTTGCCCTTTTTTCTTATTTAAAAAAAGTAAGAAACCTACAAGATTGACTGAGATTGAACTTAGAGATTGAGAAACCTAGTCTGTATGCAAAAACACTCACATATTTTTGTTTCTGATGAACTTGCGTGAAGATTAAAAATATGTTCGCCGTTCTCTTTCAAAACTATGTACATTATATTGAAACAATGTTGTTGTTATTTACCTTTACTGTAACATCAATACCATGTTGATTCATAAGTTTTGTATGTTGGGGTTTCGTTGAGTTCTACCTATAAAATTTACATAGCTTCTGCAAACTTTTGGACTTGGGGTTTGCCATAAATAGAGGATTTAGGGAGATTGATTTTCCTTCAAGCTTTCCTTGTCCTGATAATACACATGCCTCAATAGACCTGATAGTGAACGATGTTGATGAGGACACAAAATTTAATCAATGTTCTCAAAGTATTCGAAGACTAAAGGACAATTGTTTTCAACTGGAAGCCTTTCTTCTAAAGCGTCAATACATTAATAAGCAATTTATGTAATATAATGTAAAGTTTTACTCCAGTTAGCAACATTATACAACTACCTGAATAATTTATAAAGTGTTACAAACTAAAATATGCAATAAAATAGACTTGTTCACGTTCCATCAAGAAAACAAAACATTTAACAAACGATTATAAAAGAATTTTTAAGGCAAGCTTACTACCTAGATTGTGCTCTATTTTAAAGAGCTAAAAACACGATTAGCTCAGACATTGCATTTCGTTAATGTATCCACTCAAAAAGTCAGGCAAATTCGACTTCGAAAACCTTTCGAGGAATAAATAACTTATATTTCCTAATGCACTACCTATAAAAAAAGAATAACTATAGCCCCGTAAACATTTTTCAATAATTTTTATTTTCAGTACTTATTAATATTTTTTTTTAACTATTTTACTGCCTGGTTTAGAAAATTATTATATAGATTTTAAACCTAGACCAGACCTATTGATCCAAAACTTGCTATTGATGTCATTTATAAATGTTGAAATGTCACAAGAGACGGCTAAGCTACATCATTTATAAGGCTTTTATATCCTAAACTGAAAAGTTTCTTTGTCGTTACATTTAACAACTGTATTGCAACGTGGATATGATTCTTAGTTCCTTTTCAACACCGTTAAATTATGTTATTAAATAACCCCAAGACAATTAAAATTATAATTCACCTTTATGGTCAACCAATAATGTGAATTATGTTAAAGGTGTTCATAGAAAGCGTTGTGTCTACTCCTTATCCAGGAATGGTAGGTTTCTAAAAGAGTCTAAACAATGTATATTTAGATGAAAGCCAAGTATTAATAAAGTAATATTAATAAATGCTTAATCAATACTTAGGGTTTATAACGAGGGCCATACGCTACCATAGATGTTATAGATGTTATTTATTTTGTAAATAGGTGTCATATCCCTCTATCCATTAACTAACAATTTGTATGAATTTGTTAGACAACATGCGGTTAAGATGAAGTCAAGTGTTCCATGTCTTGCACTTCAAACTTGTCGGTAAACATGATGAGTAACTCGGCCAACACTGTGTATTGTAAATTAAACATGATGAGTAACTCGGCCAACACTGTGTATTGTAAACTAATCATGATAAGTAACTCGGCAAACACTGTGTATTGTTAACCAAAGATGATGAGTAACTCGGCCAACATTGTGTTTTGTAAACTAAACATGATGAGTAACTCGGCCAACAATGTGTATTGTTAACCAAACATGATGAGTAACTCGGCCAACACTGTGTATTGTTAACCAAACATGATAAGTAACTCGGCCAACACTGTGTATTGTTAACCAAACATGATGAGTAACTTGGCCAACACTGTGTATTGTAAGCTAATCATGATGAGTAACTCGACCAATATTGTGTTTTGTAAACTAAACATGATGAGTAACTCGGCCAACAATGTGTATTGTTAACCAAACATGATGAGTAACTCGGCCAACACTGTGCTTTGTAAACTAAACATGATAAGTAACTCGGCCAACACTGTGTATTGTTAACTAATCATGATGAGTAACTCGGCCAACACTGTGTATTGTAAACTAAACATGATGAGTAACTCGGCCAACACTGTGTATTGTTAACTAAACATGATGTGTGTGTGTGTGTATATATGTATTATAATATAATGTAATATTTTAAAAAAGCCGAAAAAAACATTAAAACCTACATAAAGCGTCAACATATACATTCTATTTAAAATAAGTATTTTAGTTTTGTATTTAAGTTCACAATCTTAAAGAGGTGTCTCGAAATATATTCCAGTTTATTTTAAAATAAACTGTTTATTAAACAAACTTTTAATGATTAGTGTTACTACTAAGTATCAATAAGGTACCAAATTTAGTATATCACAAATTTGTGTTAAGAAGAATTTTAACAAAGAAAATTTTGGGAACGTTACTAACTGTTGAAAATACCGAGAATACTGATAAAAGATAGCTAACTAAGTTTTGCCTGAATCAAAGTAGGCCAGGCCTAATGATTAGATACACGAATTACAAATGACTACTTGGTACAGTACAAGATTGCGCCACTTATCCTACACTCATCTCCATTCAGGATACTTGGCTTAAAATACCTACGTTGTATGGTCGCCATTTCATAAGAAAGTATTAAAGTATTAAAGTATTGGTAACTTTTGGAATCCAAGTTCATAAAAAATATATTTCAAAAGAGTATAAACCATTTGTTGTATTTTCAAGTCTTACATACTAATTGTCGTATAATATGCGTTGAATATAAATAGTTTTCAAATTTGAAATTTCAATTTCTCAAAATACCCACAGTACATAAACCATATGAGTGTATTTAAAATGCACTTAACACTATTTACTTAATACTTATGGTACTTAGTCTTTATACAAAGTATTAATAATGTGACATATCTACCTCGGGTTTGTGTATTTATTTTGTAAAGCCTTTCAGAATGAGAGTTCACTCAATAGGGGGTGCTATTTGAACAAAAATAAGTCACTCCCCCCTCTACCCTGTTTAAGGGGTTACATTTTTTTGTAAAATATTGCGGACCTTTTTTTAACAATCAATGTTTTAAACGGAATATTAATATTTACATTTCGGTTTAAAAACTACAGATATGTTTTCGTAATTAATTTACACCTTATATATTGCTTTATATAATACAGAACCTTATTTGTAATAAAGGTTTATTGTATACACCCTTATAAAATATGTATACTACTAATCTGAAAAACTAACTGAATCTCATTACATATACTTAAACACTTGAAAATTATTCAGTTTTAAATTCATTGTGTATTGGTAGCTTAATATATATTTTTAGAATATGTTGTATAATTTTTTATCTATTTCGTTGAAATAAGTATATAGCTTTGAACTAGTTGTGACAACTGTTTTGCTCATGCTCCCTCCGTCATGCCATATTGCTTAACGTAAAATTTATAATAATTAGTGCCATTACCAACTATTTTTAGCGAAGGTTAAAAACGCCGTTAATTTAATTTAGCATATGTTCTGTCATGTGAGCAAATTATCACGTGGCTTTAACGTGATAACTATTAATATTTTTTCCACTAATTGTCTAGAGTCACTATAAAATCGAGTGTCCACAGTCACAAACTTCACAGTCCCTCACCATGATGGCACCGGTATTGAGCTCAATCGTGCTACTGGTAAGTTACTATTGTCTACGTAATATCAATACTTTTTAATAGCATTTTACCAGTGATTACTATCACTGGATTACAATAAACCTAACACTAACCTTTTAGGATATTCTAACACCGAACTTTTTTAAATTTACGAGATTATAATTATTATCAATTCAAAATATGCTACACTTGTGATCGATATCAATCGGGGACATGTCTGGAGACAATTTTGTCTCCTATTATGTCTGTTGATGACCAGCGTGACTTGCCAGTCAATCATCGCTGTAACATTGCTAATATGTACACTTACCGTCTTGTACATGTTAACAGTAACAGATTGTAAGGTAATTAATGTGACTTATTTAAAACTTCTTAATGTCATCTATCATGGTTCGTCCTAGCCGCTTACGCCGCTGTACCAACGTACAGTAACAATTATTTTAACACCACCCGCTATTAAAAATATTTGTCGTTGCTATACAATATCTCTGTGCCATGAAATAATGTTATAAACAATTGTATTGGCGGTTACGCAGGATTCTGATAAATTTTATTGTTCAAAGATAATCCTACAGGGTGAATAAAAAGTCAAACCCCCCCCCCTCTAATATTTTTCCAAGTAAATATACAGAGATATCCTTTTGGTGGTCGAGCAATCTTAGCAGGAAGTTTCATTTTATCATTTTGAAATTTTTGAGTGTCCCCCCAAAAAAGGGGATTTGGGGGGCAACTCAAATATTTTAAAAGTAAACCCCCTTCAAGTGACACCTCATTTTGAAGTGTTTACAAAAACTTAAAGAATGGTGAAAACTAGAGGGTGAAAACTAGATCTCTTCTCTATTCAAAATGGTAGCCCGTCAAATGTTGTGGAAAATCAAAGGTAAAATTGTTAATATTGGCTGCCATTTTGGATAGAGAGGAGATAGCGAGCTCTGGTTTTCACCATTCTTTAAGTTTTCTTAAACACTTCAAAATGAGGTGTCACTTGATAGGGGTTTCTATCGAAACATTTTTAGTTGTCCCCCGAATCCTCCCTTTTGGGGGACACTCGAAATTTTTAAATGTAAACCCCCTTAAAGACGGCAAATATACAAAAGATGGTAAGTGGTGATCGATTTCGATTGCACACTCCAATCATCATCAGACCCAATAGGCGAATGTTATCTTTTAATGAAAACTATTTAACTTTTGTAACATAGTTTATTTAAATAATGCTGCAACCTTGACTGGCATAACTAACAAGCCTTTAAACATGCTTCTCTGAATTAGCAGATTTTATAAAATAGAATGTTGTTGCAGATCTTTCCAATTGTTTGCAATGCTGCATGTAAGTACTTCAATGTACATAACTTATATTATGTTTCAGTTGAAAAGATTTAAAACAACAAACTAAGAGATATTGTATTAAATTACTTACACGCAGGCTCTATTTAAAAATAAACGAAATATTTCAAGTTTTAGCTATGATCAATGACAATTTATAGCAATATTGTTGGTATTTTTTAATAACTAGTGAAGAAGTAGGTACTTCTTTAACTTTGTATAAATGATTAAATGATTTATGAAATTGACAGAAATATACCTAATTCAATTGAAATTAAAAAAAAACACAAGTGTATAAAGTACAAAAATCAGGAATTAACTCATTTGGTAACTATGGAAACTAATTAGAATAAACAAAAACTACATTTATACTATTTAAAAACCAATCATTGTCCAGCTGGTTTGAACAGTCTATTGGTGCACTCACCACAACTAGTATTATATAAGTGGAAGGAAAAATACATCACTTAAATTTAACATTTAATACAGCTTGAAGGTAGAATGATACAATCTTTCTCGAATAAACATACACACACACACACAAACACACACACACATCTGGAATATGTTAGTGAGAGAAAAATTGAAAAGGTATAAGTTTATAAAGGTGTGTATAATTATAGTTTTCTTGTTTTACAATATTCATATATAAACAATATCAGAGTACTGAATTCATTAAGTGTTAAGCTCTTCATATATATATTTTTCCAGTGACCAAAATATTGGGCGAAAATGAAATTGCAACTGTCCTGAAAATACGGGGTATACAATCAACAAGAACTTTTTCCACCCCAACCAACAGACTGGATTGTGTGATGTTCCAAAACGCTTTTTCGCTCCCAGGACAACAAACTATGTTCCAATCTGTTGGCATCGTCAGCACATTCGCTGATAGAAATAAAATTGAGTACATTGCAGGCGATAACTGCCAGGGCGATTTCCAGACTAACATCTATGCAGATAATGATGAAATCCGAGTTAGATTCGGGGGAATGGAGATGTCAAGGACATGGTCTAACACCAATTACGAAATAATGGTTGATCCCTTTGCTCCATCACAGTGGACCGAATGCTTGTATGTAACACTTCTTTACGAATCGCTTTTGCTTATGTTTTACAATCTAAATGCTCCTCTAAATTTTCACCGTAAGCCTATAGTCTCATTCTACCTTTAGTCACAAGTACAGGTATATATTATCAGAAATAAATTCCAAACTACCTATTAATGACCTTTAACTAGGTGTAGGCAACTATGTAACTACAGTTTAACTATGTAATTTCAATTTATTAAAACAAATTGAATCAGACATATGTTTTAATGCTAAGCCTTGCGTCAAACATTTATTTTTTATTACATGAATGTTATTTGTAAAACTGCTTACCTAAATTTTGTACCCATTTCAAAACTATAAATTAACCGAAGGTATTTAGTTTTTTACGCATCTGAAAGTACACCAACTCACAGCTCATTGGAAATCGTGAGAATCTGTCACCAGAGGACATATCTTTATGTACATGTGTACATGTTTGCATAAAACGAATTTCATATTAGGCTACCATGTACTTTTTACGTTGCACCCTTTAGAACTATTCTATAACTGTGATATTTTACAGCTTTATCCTGGTAAATATTCGAACCTGCTCTTTCTCTGTTACTGATTAAAATATAGACCTATCCGTCAAAAACTATACCTAATTATTTATGTATTATTATTTAAACTAATTGATGCGACCTAACATGGTATCTAATTGAAGTGATTATTTGATTTTTCTAATAATAATGGGTATGAGTAAAAAATTTTGAATATATAAAATTAAATCATATAAAAGCCTTAAAGTATTTGAAGATATGTAAATCTGAATAATAAAGTTTAAGTATGATCAGAAAATTATTGTTCAGTTTAAAACTATTAGGTACAATCAGATTTATAAAGTATACAATTCTTTATCAAAAATCCAGAATTTCACCTATTTAAATTAGGCTGTTATAAAAATTAAATGTTGAGGGTTAGGAGCCAGTTTTAATACTTTTTATAATAAAGTTTATATTCTTAATTTGCATCGCGTCAACGGTTAAATACCTAGTAATATAATAATGTAAAACACACAATGCTTATTCCTATAGGTAATATGGTCCTAGCTTAAGGTAAAAAATTGCTCAAGTTATTTTAAATACGAACTAACATACAATATAATTTGTTTTAAAGTGATAGCACACAAATGAGTCCAGCCGAGTTCTCGGCGTTACTCAACGGAGGAAACACTCCATCTCGCAGATGTAGATGAAATATCAAAGAGAATGCGACCAGGAAAGTAAATCCAAGTCAATAGTCATCAACGTACATTTGTAATAAGAAATCATTACAAAGATCTTGTTTGAATAAAAATATGTTAAATTTAACACATGGAGTTTGTTTTCCTGAATACCTTTAGGGTGAATGTGACTATAATAAAATTATTACATAGATTTTAAACCTAGACCAGACCTATTGATCCAAAACTTGCTATTGATGTCATTTATAAATGTTGAAATGTCACAAGAGACGGCTAACATCATTTATAAGGCTGTTATATCCTAAACTGAAAAGTTTCTTTGTCGTTACATTTAACAACTGTATTGCAACGTAGATATTATTCTTAGATCCTATTCAACACCGTTAAATTATGTTATTGAGTAACCGTTTTAACCATAACTAAACAAGACAATTAAAATTACAATTCACCTTTATGGTCAACCAATAATGTGAATTATGTTAAAAATGTTCATAGAAAGCGTTGAATCTACTCCTTATCCTGGAATGGTAGGTTCCTAAAAGAGTCTAAATAATGTATATTTATATGTAAGCCAAGTATTAATAAAGTAATATTAATTGATATAATTACTATTGCTAATTAATACATTATTTATATGCTTATCTTAGAGGAGCGACATGGGTAGTGAATACACGTTTCTACGGTGAATTCAAAGACCTTTATTTATTGTCATAGAGTAACTAAAATTGATACTGCAAAGAGGAATAAGATTAAGCACAAGAGTTGTAACTTATATTATAATATCTCCCTTTTTTTATTAAAAAACAAAATGTATTATCTTTACTCAACAACAGAAAAATAACTATAAAAATACAATAGGCAACTTAACCCATTTCAACTTGAGAACTCTCTCATGAAACTAATTAATCATCAGAACTGAAAGTGAATCTCTTAGGATTCCTAACTACTCTCCCTGACCTTGTTACATGATCATGAACATGTTCCACAGTTTGCTCTTCACTAACAGAATAATTGTTTGATGCATTCAATTGAGGACTCAAAACCTAAGGAGATTTCTCCTGACTTCTAGGACTAGACACATTAGGACTAAGAACATTAGATTTGTCTGGGCTTGATCTAGGACTGGATACATTTTTAGGACTATTATATGGAGAAATAAACACCCTATTTCTGTTATAAAAGCTACCATAATCATCTGAAACAATATAAGAACGAGGCTGATTCAATGAACTTTTAACCTTACAATGTACCCATTTTTTGTCCATAGGCTGCTTACTAAACATAACCTCCTTACCATCATCAAGTTTTTTCAAAGGTTTACTGACTTTATCATGAAAAAGTTTGCTAGTTTGTCTTTTCTGATTAATCTTAGGCTTGATTAAATTAGGATTTACACATCTCGGTTTCAAAATCTGCTTAGATCTAGGCAATCTAAAATTCAATTTCCTAGACATTAACAATTCTGCGGGAGAAGGGAGAATGTCCCTAGGTGTATTCCTTAAATTCAAAAGAGCAAGATACGGATCCTGTCCGCTTTCATCACATTTACTTAACAATCTTTTGATTATACCCACAGATCTTTCAGCAAGACCATTACTCTTTAAAATAATATGGACTTGTACAAACATGTTTTACGTCCCATTCTTTCATAAATTGAGCAGATTCACTAGAAGTATATTGAGTACCTTGATCACTAGTTAACAATTTTGGAATGCCATGTCGAGCAAACAAAGATTTCATATACATGATAATCGTACTACTTTTGATATCCGGTAATTTTACAACTTCAATGAAGTTTGAATAACAACTAGTAGGTACATAGCATTTTTATACATAAAAAGATCAGAAGCAACGTGTTCCCAAGGTAAATCAGGAATCTTATATGATAACATAGGTTCTTTGGTTTGTGTATTTTGATACATATTACATGTTAAACAATGAATGTAAATAGTTTTCAAATTACAAATTTCAATTTCTCAAAATACCCACAGTACATAAACCATATGAGTGTATTTAAAATGCACTTAAACTATTTACTTAGTCTTTATACAAAGTATTAATAATGTGAGATATCAACCTAGGGTTTGTGTCATTGTATTTCTTTTGAAAAGCCTTTCAGAACGAGAGATGGCTCAAAAAGGGGGGCTATTTGAAGAAAAATAAATCCCCCCATCCTGTTAAGGGGGTTACACATATTTTTATATGTAAGATACCACGGAACCTTTGTTAAAAATCAATGCCACTAACAGAATATTTCTTTCTATTTCGGTTTAAAGATTACAGATATGTTTCAGTAACAATAGACACCTTATATTGCCGTATGTAATACAAAACCTTATCTGCAAAAAAGGTTATTGTTGACCCCCACCCCCCTATTACCCATTAAATATCGGGTGTCCCATGATGGACCCCCACAACTGGGGTATTTTTCAAAGTTAAAAATTATTTTATTGGATTTGACAATGCCAAATTAGGTGGGAATGAGAACGAAGAAGTGTTAAAAGCCATTGTACACCTAAAAATTAAAATTTAAAATAAATCAACAACTAAAATTAATTGATTTAAATAAAAATTTTAATTTAGGCTATAGTGTTTAGCCTTTGTACACGAAAGATATGGAAAGTTTCCAAATAAACACCCTGTTTTATTACTAATCTGAAAAACAAATAACATCAAAATTACACATGCATACAGACTCGAATGTTGTTTAGTTTTAAGGTTATTTTGTATTAGTAGTTTAATATATAATTTTTTTATATGTAATATAATTTTGCATCCATTTCGTTGAAATAAGTTAGGTTTTAACTAGTTTTGACAACTGTTTTCCTCATGCTCATGCTCTGTTATACCATATTGCTTAACACAAACTTCACCAAATATCGTCAGTGAAGGTTAAAATGCCATTAATTTTACCAGCATATGTTCTATCATGTGAGCAGTTTAGCAAGTGGATTTTTCGACTAATTGTCCCCAGTTTTCCTCAATTATCATAGAGTGTACTGCTCACAGTCGCCTACTTCACAGTCCCTCGCCATGATGGCGCCGGTTTTGAGCTCAATCGTGGCACTGGTAAGTAACCATTTTCTACGTAATTTAAATAATTTCTTTAATAGCTTTTTACCTGTAGTTGATATCACTGGATTAGCTTAAAACATGCCTACTAACATTTTTGGTAATTCTTACACAAAACTATTTAAATTTATGAGATGATAATTATAAGTTTGCAATATGTTGCAAGTGCAATCCGCTACAACCTGATATATACAGTGTGTTACACAAGTCCCAGAACTGCTTAATATGTATTTAACCAACATAAATACGGTGGTCAAGTTTTGTTCTAGATATTTATCATAAAAACCTGCCTATTTAAGGAATTATCAATTTTCAATGTTCTTCCCCACCAGGGTACGGCCTACAAGGAGCAAGAAGAACATCTTTAAAGTAAGCATAGGTTGATATGCACATCAAACTAAAGGTATTTACTAGTAAAATACAATACTACAAATTTTAACTCAAACGGACAACCTAGACAAATAGACACTCGTTCAAGGATGCATTAAATTTGCATTGCTATTATAAGCTACCACCTCAGGGAAGCGCCCGCTAGAAGTCGGAAGAAAATCAATAACGTATGCACAGATCGATATGCACATAAAATTAAAGATATTTATTAGCAGAATACAATGCCGCTAATTTGAGCTCAAAATAACAACTGTAAAAAATGGCAGCCGTTCAAAGATTTAAAATGGCAGATTCAAGAAATCTTTGAACGACTGCAATTTTTTACTCGAATGTCCGTTTGAGTTCATATTTGCGTCATTGTATTTTACTATTAAAGACCTTTAATTTGATGAGCATATCAACCAAAATGTGATAATTGCTTAAAAAGGCAGGTTTTTATGATAAATATACAAAAAAGTACCACCTCATTTATGTCGGTTAAAAAAATATTAAGCAGTTCCGGGACTTTTTTAACACTGTATACTAGAGACAACGATATGTCCCCTCCTGTGATGTCTGTTGATGACTGGTGTAAGGCTTGTCGAAGTCACATAGCTTGTATACTTACCGTATTTGACATGTTAACAGTATCGGTTAGTAAGATAAATTAATGTGATTAACTTATACTTGTTAATGTCATCTGTCATCGTGCGTCCTAGCCGCTTACCCCGCTGTACTAACGTACAGTATGGTAATAAATTATGTTAACACCACCTGCTACTAAAATTTTCTTTTCGCTATATTTCTGTGCCAAGATAGAATGTCATATAACCTTATACAATATAATGTAGTGTTGGTGATAACGCAGGTTTCTGGTAAATTGTATCGTTCAAAGATAATTAGGACGTAGAGAGAGATTATACTTTGTATGAAAAACAGAACGTAATTGAACTTGTTTGAAAAAAATATAACTATAAAAACAGCTGAACTGAATCTCATTACTGAATTTCCTTCTCCTAAACTAATTCCTAAACTAATCCTTAAAAAAGTAAAATACATAGTAAAAAATATCCTTGTGAGAACTACATCTTCCTTTATTTAGTAACCTGTTTGAGTGTTGATATTTTCTTTTTTAATCTTTAAATTGTTTTATTCCAAAGGTATTCTGCATCTGCTAACTCGGTGATTGTTACTGTTAAATTCAGTCATCAGTTTCATACTTTCTTGTTATCAAGCAAATAAAGATGTATATTCTTGATGTAATATACATCTGGTTAACATTTTATTCCGTAAAAAATGTTACCCCATTTGTGTTAGTTTTAGATAGTCGGTAATACTATCCAACACTTTTTGAAACGGCTAGTTTGAAAAAACGGTCGTAGTTAAAAATACTTATCGTATTAGCACACTTAATAACATTTTGTTCTGTTGCAGTTCTTTCCAATCGTGTGCAATGCTGCATGTAAGTATATCAAATCAACTGTTATTATGTTTTGATTTTAAACTAAGAGAAACCATAGTCAATTACTTCCACGTTTTCAAACATAAACGTAATATTTTTAGTTTTAGTTTTGGCTATGACCAATAAAAATATTTTTGCTATTTTTTCATAACTTGTATTAGTTTTAATTGGAAGGAAAAAAATCACTTGATAATATAGATTTTAACATAATTCAGCTTGGTGGTAGAATGATACAATCCTCCTCGACACACACACACACACACACACACACACACACACACAACCAATTAAAAGTTTGCATACAGTTTTGTTGTTCTAAAATGTTCATATAAACAATGGCAGCGTAGCTTAACCAATAGATATTACGCTATTGATATTAATATTTTTTTCCAGTGACAGCTTTAATAACAGACCCTCAAAGTGTCAATATAGGGGCTCTAGGAGGTGTAAAATCCACAAGAAGTTTTTCTACATCAACCCACAGACTGGAATGTTCGACTTTCCACCAAACTTTTTATCTCAACATAGACCGCCAACAAAAGCCGTTCCAATCGATTGCGGTCGTATCTAAGCTGGTGAACCGACAATTATTGCCGTTAGAGGCCTTTGCAGGTGATAGCTGTGATGACACTGGCATGACTGATAGCGTGTATGCAGGATACGACAGAGTCGAATTTAAATTGAACACTGGATACGTGGTGATCATAGTAAACCACGCTTGGCAACATAAGCAAGATGGTGCCTTTGATCCATCACCATGGACATGTAACACTTCTTCACGAATTGATTTACCGTATATTTGACAATCTATACACTCCTCAGTTAGAAAAACTATTAGGTAAAATCAGATGTATTAATACACTTTATTGAAACATCCCGTAATTTATTTTTATAAAAATTAAGCTGTTATACAATGGTGAAGGTTTAGAACCAGTTGTACTGAGGTTTTAGTCCAATTCAGTATTAAGAATATATACTTATTATAAACATTTTACTTATCTTTGTTGTTATCAAATTAAAATTATGTAAAATCAATAAGTGTCCCACGAAGAGGTTTAGTGTTTTAATTAAATTTACCAGCCTATATATGCGCCATAAGCTTTTATACTTTACATAACTTATGAAATACTATTTTAACTTATTTGTAAAAGTTGTATTTGATTAACATTTGTATGGAAAAAGGCGTAATATTGAAAATCTAACTACCTTTCTTTCTGTAAAAATTACTTATACCCTAAAATTTCTATACGCCTTTTTGCGGACAATTTGTATATCAGTATTCATTACTGTTCTCCTAGTATCATCTAATCTACTGCATATCTACTACTCTATTCCTTGATATCCGTCCCTTTGTTTATTTGTACTTTGACGTATGTTTTTGTTCAACTATAAAGTGTCCAATTATTAAACCCCAACATATTGCGGATTGACATTGAATCACTTGCCCGGTAATTAAAATAACTACATAGTATATAGTGCTTTAATAACCATAGTGTCAACGGTTAAATACATAGAAATGTACAACACGCAATATGTAGGTTAAGGTTGAATGTGTATTGTCAATTGTTAACTGGCAGCATCGAGTTTTTTTTTTGTATTTTTTCATACTTTGTAATTTTTTTCTAACGGATGAATAATTGATTCTTAAACCGAATTGTCCATACTGATAGGAACAAAATTGTAAACTCTACACTTGTAGGTAAAAGTATATTAGTTCATTAAGTTATTTTACATACAAACTAACATATAATATAATTTGTTTTCAAGAAATGGTAGGAGAACAATGGAAATAGACACTCGATCTGCCGTTGCTCAGAAGAGGCAATATAACGCTCAATTGTTGAATAGTATAGCAACAAAAATGCGAACAGGAAAGTAAATCCAAGTCAACAGTCGTCAAGGTACATTTGTAATGAAAAAAAAACATTACAAAGATCATGTATTCTAAATGACATGATGAATAAAAAGATGTTAAATTTAAACAAATGACGTTTGTTTTCTTAACTCATGAATGCTGAATACATTTAGTGCAGTTGTGACTATAACACACATTGATAATGTTTCATTCGATTATTGTGCCCTATGTTGATTACAATAGATATAAGGAAGGTTGAAATAATCTAATGTGAAATATAAATACTAAGCGAAATGATTGGATTCATATAATATAATTAAATAAAGCATGGAAAATTGTTATCATTGTTGATACAGTTCACATGAAAGTGATGTATGAAGTACATCAGTATGATCATTACATCATTCATGACTATTCATCATCATATTGAGTTCAAAATTCACTAAATCAGCTGAATCCGAATGCATGAATCAATCATCTTCCTTAACAAAAGTGCAAAACGAATATAAGGCAAGTCTTACCGTGTAATTGGTAGATCAATTAAATATTTTAAACAAATAATTATATTGGAATTAATTTTTTCCCAAAGGAGCTCAGAAAACCCCACTAAGCTAAATGTATCAGGGTATCGAGCATTCATTGCTTGTGATGTTAAATTTGTTCCAGGGGCTACATATGCACAATACCATGATCGTTTGAAATACAGTTTAAAACATGTAATCAAACAAATGATATTAGAACATTTTATCATGCTCATGTATCTATTATGTTAGGCTATAAAGCATTTTGTTCATGACCTTGTCGTCTCAAGGCAATGAATATCCGTAGGTTGCTCGTTATATACAAAGCAAAAAAAAACCAAAATAAAAATCCGCGTTTAAAAATAGCATATCAGTATAGTCCTCTCTGAAAGGTTTATGTATAAGTAGAGATAGACTAGGTATATAAATAGTTAATTTTATAGTTTACTGGCCAATATTTGACATCGGGTTTCCTTGACAATTGATTGACCAAGCCGATGGACGCTTCGTACAGATTTGTGATAGGCATGCAGAAAATGTTATTGAAACCTATACATTCCATTGATAAATATACCTTTAGAAATATAAAAATGTAGTGTCAACATAAAAATGAAAATAAATTGTTTTAAAAACTATACATCAACACTAACACTCTAAGATACGGTTTTAGGCTAGGTAATTTAGTTTCAAAGACTAAATGTAAGGGTTTGCAAGACATAACATATTATAGCTTTACCTAATATGTAGAGTCTAGTCTATGTGTTAAATGATTTAGATGGATGTTAAGGGATTAGTTTTTATACTCAGCCACATTATGAATAAGTCTAAATAAAACAAACATGTCAAAACAAAATTACTAATTTGGAACTATAATCGACCTATTAAAACATCTAACTTAATAGTTTTACTTGTATACATCTTCATTTTCAGTTTTGTTACGTGTAATTAAGTTGTAAAGCCAATTTGTCTTCGGTACCTATTTCCTCGTTCTTAATTTACCTAACAAACTTTGTATTAAGATCGGGCAATTCATAATGACAATTTCTACGATAAATATCATTAAAAAAACTCATGATATAACATATGTTGATCAGTATGGTTGGGATGAGTATATGTTACAATTGATTTGTTTACATTTTTGTTCAACTGTGTCGGCTACTTGGCAATCCATAAGACCGATTTAAAAATATTAAAATTTCATTTAAGTTTTTGAACGAAAACCGAAATTTCCCAGAACAAAACCTATTATGGATATGGTTTTCAGCTAGGAGTAATAATAAGCTATCAAAGATCGCTTACTTTCCTTATGGCATAAATTGCTAATAATATACTTACATAAAGTAAATTAAAATCTATACTTATTTAATACGCAAGCAGGTTTTTTGTGACAATTACTCCTCCGAAGCTACTGAACGGATTGACTTGTTTTTGGTGTGGCTGGAAAGAGAGTAACGTGAAGTTGTGCAGGAAACTTTCTTTTAGGGAAATAATTAGAGAGTGAGGGCCTGGGGCCCTTTAAATTTTCGTATTTCTCCATAAGATTAACATGGGAAACAAAAATTGTTATGAAACTCCAGCTGTTGTCAGAAATTAAAAGTGAGAAGAACATATGATAATTGTAAACAGTCAATAAGTTTGCTAATTTAACAGTTTGCTACAAACATTTACTGAATTAGTTGAAATGAAATATTTACTATTTGGATTTAGGTTGGCGTAAATATTACAATGGAAAAAAGCGAGAGAGCCTGGATAAATTGATGTAATAAAAAGAAAACTGAATTAACACTGTGCTGCATTTTTTAGTAATCATTGAAAGAGCCGATTTGTAAACTATGGAAACTTAGGAAAGGCATAGAACACCACCAAGGAGAAGAGATAGAAATAGTATTTTTTATTTATTTATAATCGTTATTATGGATAACCTAATGCGGCTATGAGTAAGGCTATTTGTAGAAAACACTAAAAAACAAGATCAGCTTTTGAAAAATGGTAAGATATTTACAAGAAATGTTGATTATATCGATCTGTTATGTACATCTTGAGTATTTCCATAATCTTTGAGTCGAATCTTTTAACCTCATCAGAAATTATGGATGTTATTCGTTTTAAAATAACGCCTGTAATACGTAGCAATTGCTCGAATCCGAGCAACAGGGACACTAGTAGTCTTATAATACCTAACATATAATATAATGTTAACTCACAAGACGGTAAATACATACAGGGTGAATAAAAAGTCAAGACCCCCCCCCCCTCTAATATTTTTCCAAGTAAATATACAGAGATATACTTTTGGTGGTCGTGCAATCTTAGCAGGAAGTTCAATTTTATGATTATGAAAGTTTTGAATGTCCCCCAAAAAGGGGGGATTTGGGGGGAAACTCAAATATTTTAAACGTAAACCCCCTTCAAGTGATACCTCATTTTAAAGTGTTTACAAAAACTTAAAGAATGGTAAAAAACTAGAGGTCGCTATCTCTTCTCTATCCAAAATGGTAGTCCGTCAAATGTTGTGGAAAATCAATGGTAAAATTTGTACGTAATGGTAGTATTGGCTACCATTTTGGATAGAGAACAAATAACGAACTCTGGTTTTTACTATTCTCTAAGTTTTTGTGAACAACTTAAAAATGAGGTATCACTTGATGGGGTGTTACATTTAAAATATTTGAGTTGCCCCCCAAATTCCCTTTTGGGGGGACACTCAAAAATTTCAAAATCATAAAATGAAACTTCTTGCTAAGATTGCACGACCACCACAAGGATATCTCTGTATATTTACTTGGAAAAATATTAGAGGGGGGGGTCTTGACTTTTTATTCACCCTGTATAAATGATGGTAAGTGGTTGTGGATTTCGATCGGACACTCCAAACATCATCAAACCCAAAGTGCGAATGACATTAACTATTAGTTGTGGTCTTCATATTATTTAGCTACAAAACACGTATATTTATTTACCATATTGCTTTCCATTAATTTACTTTGGTTGTTGTATAAATAATAGATAATAAATAAAATATTATTATAAGCAATACATGTTACATTTTACAGCATGGGATAAATAGTTTTTAGAAAATCAACTAGTTGTAAAAGACCAAGTGAACATTCGGATCCAAAGTTCTCTTCTTGATCGAGTCACGTTTCCAATAAAAGTGTTTGATCATCTAATGAAATCACCGACGTCGATAGCAAACATTGGTTCAACAAAGCTAGAAACTTTAATATACTAGTTAAGAGAATAATTACTTTTTTGTGAATAAACAGTTACCGCATTTTACACTTTAGGTACAGCTTTTTCAGCCCTATATACAGTGCTTCCTCGATCATATTTATGTTATCTCTATCCCATCATTGGTCGAGTAAAGGTTCGCAGAAACATCGTAATAC